TAGTACGTAGTGTGTGTGTGTGTGTGTGTGTGTGTGTGTGTGTGTGTGTGTGTGTGTGTGTGGATACGAAAAATCCTTAGTTATTGTAACTTTATGTAGTAATTGACTAATTACGTACAGGTGGCGAGACACGAGTACAAAACATACATAAAGTATCCATATTACTACACCATTGTAAATGTCAGATTCGGCTTCTTTACACTTTTTAATCAAGTAATAATGTGGGAAGAAGCAAGTTTTCATGTTCACGCCTTTCTCTGATTTAATAGAATCCTTTAGAAAATCTACAAGGCCTTCAGGTTAGAGAGGCCGTGCTTTATGAGCGGGGTCAAGACAATTATTACCTGTTGTCGGCTCTTCAGATCCCGGAGAACTCTGACGGGGTGCAGTAACCAGGCGAAGGCAGTCACCAGGACCAGGAACAGCAGGAGGACCCGCGCCAGGAACCGGAGTCTGGTCAGCATGGCTGGGCTCTCTGGATCGGCGTCGGTATCCGAGTAAATAATACTTCGATGTGAAGTATTAATTATAATTTTGTACTTACAGAACCGGTGGTATCATAGGCCCACTTTTACTCTTGCTCAAGATACGAGTAGAGTGCTATTGCCACCGGCCCGGGACCAGAAGGGTTTTTACTGGCTCCTCCTGTTTCTTACACTATGAACATGCATTGAGTGAAGTTTTCTGTTCCGTGTATGTGCGATAAAGAACATACCACAACATTGCACCCCCCTGCCGTATGACGAAAGCAGCAACACTTATAACTGTGTACCTACGGGGTATCTTTTACAAACAATGGCGAAACTTGTCTGACAGGTTTAACGATTGACCTCTGACATCTGACCTCCAGAAATGTCCTTGAGGCGCGACGAAGGAGCAAGCCTAGCTCTTTTTGTCACTTTTGTGTGCTGTAATTAAATAAATTATTACTTTCGCCAAAACGTTGTGTTTTTTGTAGCGTTTGTGGTTCTGTGTTTTAGTGGTTAAGTCTGTCTGTGGTTTAACAACATAACTCGAGAAGCTATAGTTGGATTGGTATGATATTCGGCATGTGGGTAACCTTTGTTGGGAAACAAAGGATAAGTTCGATCAAAGGCTTCCTAGCAGCTTGCCATGGTACAGCTGCGGAATTTCCTGTTTTGGTATCTCTTGTTTTAAACATGCTATGGTCATGGTTTACTTCAAATATTAGCCAACACATCTGTGACTGCCTAGATACAGAAACTGCTTCTGTCCAGACATATTAACTCACGGTTGCAATTTTTAATTTGAAGAGACATGAGTAACATCAACTTGTGTCAATTTGGTTACAGTCGAGCCTTTTGCCATGATATACAGACATAAGCTTGTTTCGGGCACAAAATGGAATCTCTGGTTGTTACCACGGATCAAATTAAATAAAAATTGCAAACATTAATCTATTGACTATGACAGGCAATGATACTAGAGATATGTATAATTTCAAACAGTGCTCTTATACTACTCTTTAAGCATATCAGTACACGGTACCAAAAGATCTGCTTGGAGACTACCAAGGAGTACAGTAAACATCAATTGCCCATTTCTCTATTAATTATGAGCGCCTTCCGAGAATATTTTCAGTTTAGTAACCGCGATTTTATCAATAGAGCTTTTAAAACCCCTTTCATACAGTATGTAGAGATGGTTTCTATCATGCGGGAGCATCATGAGTGCGGAGTATCCTGCAAATTTACTCCAGATCCGTTTCTCTGAGGTCCAAGTCTTCCCGTGGTCGTAACTCCATTTGATGTGTAAGTTCCGACCTAGGAGGGAAATAGGAACGAAGCAATCATCAAAGTCATGATTTTATGGTTACATGGTTGCAGGGAACTGGTATATATTGTATCCAGAACCGTGCCTATATATTTCTATGCCTATTAGAGCTAGGTTCAGGGACGTTTCTGGATAGTCTTCGCCTATCCAAGAACGCAATCATTGTGGGCCATGGGGAAGAGCCAATTTTCCAAAAATAACGATCATCACTAGACGCAAAGAAAAGTTACCAAAGCCCCAAGCCTAGCTTCTCCTAGAGTCGATTATAGTATAAGTGTAAGATATGTTCAATGCTCACAGTTGTGTATGACTGCTTACTTAAAAACAAAACAAATTTTTGCACCCACGTATTGTGTCATGCTTAGGTCCTGAGTAGAACAAGATCCCATCGTGGTACCACAGCCCCGATGTGATTCTCGGTTCGATGAGTGCCTGGTCCAGGTACGTGTAGTTTTGTGGCAGCGTTTCTCCCCCATCAAAGCTACGCATGATCATCTTGCAGTGGTTCTCCTGATACACCTTTTCGTTCCGGATAAGAATATATATGGACCCATCGGGAAACTCCACCGGCTGCATAGAGAAACGTAATAACAAATGGAGGACCTTGAAATTCTTCAAATGGAAATTATTTGGTTAAAATATTGCTGTAATGTTTTTGTGTTTTTAGTAGCTCACCTGGCATTCATCTGGATCAAAGTGTCCTTTTTCTTTCTCTGGCATGAACGGCACACTCGGTACGAAGGCTCCCCGTCTCCACGTCACGCCGTGGTCATCACTCAGCAGCAGCACCAAGCCTTTGCCATTGTAGAAACCGTGTCCGCACACAATCAGTCGTCCCTTAGCTGGCTCCTGCTTTTTCTGACAAGAAAGGTAGAGTAAGGGCTAGTATTTTGGAAATATGTGTAGATGCCCTACGACATTCAGACATATAAAACGTCAGTCAACATCCCTTACCTGAATACCGTACCCAGGACTTGGATGTGTGGCGTAGTCTTTCCCTACGTGGTCGGTGATGTTTCTCGGTCGGCTCCACGTGATGCCGTCATCCGTACTGTTTATCAACATCAGTGATCTCGTAGGGCAGAACTCACAAAACACGTACATCAGGAAGATGGTAGCAGTTGTGTCGTCTACGAAAATAGTTCCTATGTAGGAGCTAACCTTGAAACGCGACTTTCCGTCGTCCACTATCCTTCTTGGTGCTGACCAAGTTTTACCTTTAAAGGAAAGATACAGATGATTAACATCAACCGTACAGCATCACCCCATGTGAATTTAGTAATCGGATCACCCACGAGATCCTAACTGTAGACGTGTCACTTGTAGATGCAAACTAAGATCCATGCATATTCTTTGCACTGACATGTTACCAAATATTTAACACTGCCACCAAAATTAGTATAAGCAAATAACCTAATTACCTCCATCCGTTGATCTTCTGACTTCAAAGACCTTTGGGTTTTCGTCTTTTTTGCCTTTCCTTCTCCCTTCTGCTATGACTACCAGATTCCCTTGGGGAGTGTAGGTGAAAACGGGAACCCGGTATACTGGGATTGTCGCCTTCTTTTTGAAACTCTTCTTCCACAACACAACGTCATGTGTCTGATCCAGGGAGACATTGACAGGGCTGGTTGATAACCTGACCTGTTCAAGGGAGGAAAGGAACTGCTGGGTTTTCATACTTCATTCGTACGACATGGTCAGCATCATGTAGGAAAAGTTATAGGAAACCTGGACAATTTATATGAATGTCTTTCCTACTAGTAGACGTCTCCTCAAAACAGCAACTGCGTGCTAATTCTTCCTTTGATTTATATTGATGTACGGCAAGTCTTTGGAATTAGTATCAAATGAGATAACCATTTAGCTAGTATATAACATTTCCAAATTAATACGTTATTTCGTTAATCACAAGTGAGATAAAGAGGTGCAATATCGTTGTTCGTCAATTCTACAATTGATTGTAGGTTTTGTAGGTTTTGTAAGTGATGATAAGTAAAACACAATTACTGTTGCTTACAGTTAGAGAGAACCACATGCACAGCTGTTTACTGGGTAATGCTGTAAAATTTACCATCTGATGTTTCGTGAGTTCCTGGTTTCCTATCCACCGTGCCAGGATGACGATGATGAACAGTGAAGCAACAATCAGCAGCCGAAACCTCCCCGACATGACTCTCGTCGGGAAAATGTCACCCATGGTTTTCTCTCGAGTATTTTCCTGGACAATAAAAGAAGCATTATCATTGTTGTTGTTTGTACGTATACATATATAGTGGTATCTATTTTTCACGAGATAATGTCAGAGACGCGTTCTTCTCCACCAAATGTTAGTCCCAGGTTTGTTTTGCTTCAATCTCAGTTCACTAGCAAGTACTCTTTAACGTCTATGGCATATGTATACATGCGTTTCATCTAAGCTTGAACCACGATCATGATGTAATATTCAGCCTTAAAACTACAGGTTAATTGACTTTTCGATGCAATTCATTTCTTTAAAATGTCCGTTACTGTAGGATATCATATGATGGACACTTATTTTACGTCAAGGTCGGTGAATTTCTTCATTCGTCCTCGCTCAAATTACGGACTGTGTTGTGGATCACATCTCATACGTGACCACTTGTATAATTAGTAGGCAACCTGGACATTAAGTCAGGCAACACCGAGACCTTTAAACCCGAGGCTATGGGATAATTATGTAAGATTAAGTCTGAGCGGTACCAAGCAAATTCCAAGGACAGCCAAGTAAATAATGTGACTTGTAGCCCGCATGGTCAACAGTGGAGTGCCCAAATGTACAGGCATTACTGTCAAACATTTCAGTCTTCATTCATGTTTTAAAAAAGAAATACATGTACGTGAATTCTATAATTTACCAGCCTACTTTAACATTATGTGTTGCAGGCCTTTCTTTATATTAGCGTAGGGAGGTTTCTTGTGTTACATTATATCTCCATTACTCACTCCCAATCATATAGTATGTAATCTTCAAGCTCCTACGGTGCCAAAGCTATATCCGTTGGCCAAAGTGTGACATTTAGGTGGCTAATGGCCACTCCTTTGGCCAGTGGCTACAGCCTTGTCACCGTAGGATCTGCTTGGAGATGACATAATATGTGAAAACACATGTGATACTGGATATCTTAACACATAACTTATGTACACGCTAGTCTCTTGAGTTGTCCTACCTTTGTCGTGACGTCAAACCGTTTGGTCACTTCTAAGACTGAGCCCCATGTGTAACTTGTTGGTTGGTGGTAGATTCTGTGCGGTACGTTTTAGGTTAACTTACTGCGGGTCTCAGTGTCTCAGTTCGCCATTTTGAAAAGATAATTCGGGCAAAGCCGACTTTTGCCTACAACCGGTCGTTCTTGTTCCTTGAAAGGTCAACACCTTAATTTGCTATCTTGTCAGAAAGGACAGCAAATCTCATTTTCCTCAGTCTAAATTTATGTGATTTCTCATATGTTTTTAAAACAGTATAGTAACGTTAATGACCACAAGTACTCTCTGAACTTCAAGGACATCTGGATGCCCCATACGTCGAATATTCTGAACGCTACAAAATAGTTGTTTATTCAACACATCTTTTACTCACGAATATGCACACATGTACTGCTATTTTCTGTAACGTCGTGTCTGTGTTTAATGAAAAAGCTGCATTTAACATCTAAAAGCTAAGTACTATGTGTGTTTTAACCGACTAGGTGTCCTCTGATGACCTTATACCTTTGACCCAACTATCGCGGACAAGCCGGTTGGACAAGGTGCTATGTTGTAGCTATAGGCTGATGTACTGTTTGTGTTGGGTGAAGTCATCTGTGCTCGCCAAATTCTAGCCGCTAATTTGTTTTCAAAGTATCAAATCCATTTTATAGAACTTTCAAATGACTACGGGGAATTTCCACTTGATATTTCATAAGGCATTACGCCCCATCGTCGTGGATATTTTCAGTTTAGTTACCGCGACTTCATCACGATACGTTTTTCTGCCTCTTTCATACAGTAAGTAGATGTTGCTTTTATCATGCGGGAGCATCATGAGTGCGGAGTATCCTGCAAATTTACTCCAGATCCGTTGCCCTGAGCTCCAAGTCTTCCCGTCGTCGTGGCTCCATTTGATGTGTAAGTCCTGACCTGTGGGAGGGCAAATATGGACACACCTTGGATGAACGACCATTGGTGTCGTAATGGTTGTGTGATTACAGAATTACCGTTACTTGTACACATCACTGTATTATTGAACCCATTCTTTCAAGATGAAATGGTAGCCAAGAATGTTAAGAGAATTTGAAAGACTTGCCAGGAGTGACCATGTGAAGCAAAGCTAACGACTAAACTTGCCGGTAATCATTGGGGAAGTATGATGAATAGTTATAGGTTCAACACAATGTCTATCACTAGACACTACTAGAAAAACTACTGCAGCCCTAGCCTAGGTTTCTCATAATATAGTACAGGTACCAGATATGGTAAATGCTCACAGTTGTGTATTACTGTTTACATTAGTAATTAGTTGTTTCCTTAGATGCCTTAAAACAATGTTAGTACCCACGTAGTGTGTCATGCTTAGGTCCGGAGTAGAACAAGATCCCATCGTGGTACCACAGCCCCGATGTGATTCTCGGTTCGATGAGTGCCTGGTCCAAGTACGTGTAGTTTTGTGGCAGCGTTTCTCCCCCATCAAAACTACGCATGATCATCTTGCAGTGGTTCTCCTGATACCACTTTTCATTCCGAATAAGAATATATATGGACCCATCGGGAAACTCCACCGGCTGTATAGAATAGAACAGCATAACGGCAAAAGTCAAAGATGGTGTACCTTGAAATTTCTCAAAGGGAGTGAAAATATCGTTGCAATGGTTTTGTGTTTTCAGTATCAAGATGCCTTTTGATCAAAGGTCCTTTAGTGTAAGGCTCACCTGACATTCATCTGGATCAAACTGTGCTTCGTCTTCCTCTAAGATGAACGGCACACTCGGTACGAAGGCTCCACGTCTCCACGTCACGCCGTGGTCATCACTCAGCAGCAGCACCAAGCCTTTACCATTGTAGAAACCGTGTCCGCACACTATCAGTCGCCCCTTAGCTGGCTCATGCTTTTTCTGACAAAAAAAGTTAGAGTAAGGGCTAGCATTTTGGAAATACGTGTAGATGGGTGAGTCGACGATTGCAATGAAGTGTCCTACGACATATAAACATATAAAGCAGGATTTTCAGTCAACATCCCTTACCTGAATACCGTACCCAGGACTTGGGTGTGTGGCGTAGTCTTTTCCTACGTGGTCGGTGATATTTCTCGGTCGGCCCCACGTGATGCCGTCATCCGTACTGTTTATCAACATCAGTGATCTCGTAGGACAGAACTCACAAAACACGTACATCAGGAAGATGGTAGCGGTTGTGTCGTCTACGAAAATAGTTCCTATGTAGGAGCAGACCTTGTAACGCGACAATCCGTCGTCCACTATCCTTTGTGGGGTCGACCATGTTTCACCTTTGAAGGAAAGAGTAATTATACAATATCTACCCATGAGTAAAACGTAGTAATCGTTTCACCCACCAGCTTCTAATGTAAGACGTGTCACATGAGAATGCAAATTAGGATTCATGCAGATTCTTTGCTCTACTATCTTATCAAAGTCATAATAATCCCAGAGCACTAATACCAAGATACAAACTAAGTGAAATGCTTGAATTAAATATACCTCCATCTGTTGATCTTCTGACTTCAAAGACTTTTGGATTTTCGTCGCTAGATGATCTTCTCCTTCCCTCTGCTATGACTACCAGATTCCCTTTCGGGGTGTAAGTGAGAACAGGAACCCGGTATACTACGATTTGCCTTGTCTTAGCCTTGTGCTTCATTTTCCTTCTCCACAACACAACGTCATGTGTCTGATTTAGGGAGACATTGGCAGGGCTAGCGGCTGACTGGACTTGCTCGAAGGCGAAGCGAACTGCTGGATTTCCATTCTTCTTTCGTGACAGGCATCGTGTAGAAAAAGGCAGTTGAGTAACTGATAGCAAACCTGAACACCGTATATATACCTTTCTCTCTAGCAGTCTTCCCAAAACAGTAACAAGTTATTGTTTAACTCTTTCATTGTTTAACTAATATTGCTAGACGACAGGTCTTTGGTACGAGTACCAAAGGTAATAATGGCAGTTACTTGCACATACATAACATTTTATACTACGTACTTGCTTTTATCAATAAAAAATGAGACAACGGGGAAATTTCATTTTTAGAAGTTAGAGAAATGATTTGCTAAATAATGCTGGATTTGAGTGCCTGTAACAAGTGTTTCTACTGATTGACTTTAAGTTAAAGCGATGGTGGGTAAATCACGATTATAATTGTTAACAGTTAGAGAGCGCCACATGCACAACTGAGTGTTAATGTAAAATTTACCATTTCATATTTAGTGATTGCCTGGTTCCCTATCCACCGTGCCAGGATGACAATGATGAACACTGATGTAAAAGTCAACAGCCTAAACACGACTCGTGGGTTGTAGAGATTAGCCATGGAGTTCCTCTTCAGCATGTTCCTGTGCATTAAAAGAGATACCATTTTTGTTTTGTCAGTTCACATTTAGATACAATGGCACATGCGTATGTCTTGCCAGGGACACATTAACTCTTCACAATAGATTGCCTTGTCTGGTACATTGTTCTATATCTTGACATAATTGTTTTAAATTTCTGTTTGCCTTTTAAGAAATCCTACGGTATATATATACATGAATTTCAGCTGAGGTTGAACCAAAGTTGCGGTGTAGTTCAGCCTGAAAACTACATTTTCCCTTTTTTTATCCAATCTATTTCAAAATGTCCGTTTGTAGCGTGTATCACGGGCACTTACCGGTGTCTGAGTCTGGATTTTGTCATTTGCAAGATTGCGGACTGTGTTGCATGTTTCACATCATAAAGGACACCTTTAATATGTAAAACATCTGACCTACAGCACCATACACCCCGAGGGCATTGAGCGATTATAAAATTAAGTCTGAGTAGAAGCAAACAAAGTCAACGCGTAGCCAAGTAGAAGATGTGATTAGCGACCTGCATGTCAACAATGATGCACGCAAGTGTACAGTGTCGTCCATGTTTCCACATACAAAGGAATACATGAACTTCATAAAGGTACTTGTAAATTGTACACATTTTAAACGATACAAAATAGTATCCATAAAGCTTCTTTCTTTATGTAGTGTATGCAAAACATGACCATGTCCTGGCTATGCCACCCCAGTATTCTGCTATCCCACCTTGACCGTATATACTACAAGCCTGTTTTGATCAATCTTAGGCTAGTGGGGCGTCGATCGCGAGTGTTACACTGTATCTACGAAACTCTCTAAAACTCCCTAAAATGCAAAGCCTAGGGTGCACATGCAGGTTTCCAATATTCCTTAGATGCCATACCGGTACCTTTTTATGTGAGGTCAAGCCGCCTGGTCACCTCATGAGAACCCCAGGTATATCTTGCACGGGACGACTTTACTGCATGCCTTACATGCCTCCGCTCGCCGTGTTGAAGATATACATCGTTAAGCACAAGATCACTCGCTGTATACAACTAACTGGTCGTTCTTGTTCCGTGAAAGGTCAACAAGTTAACCTGCTCAAGAGATAACAGTACTGAACGGGCAATCAGCTTCCACAGTGCCATTAGTCTAATTCTATTACTGTATTTCTCATATGTTTGTTAAACATTTACTTAGTGTCAATGACCTCAAGTAACGTCTGACCTTCATGAACATCCTTCATCAAGTCTCTTATCTTTATACATTCTGAACGTTACAAAACAGTCGTTTGTTTTGATATGTCTATTACATGCATACTATTATTTTCTGTAACACCATAGCTGCGTTTAATGGAAAAGCAGCGTTTTACGTTTAAAACCTAAGTACCCAACTAATTGACCCCTAAGGCGAGAACATGATTTCATGACCTCTTTGCACCTAATCCAACACGCTCGGACAAACAAAAGTTGGTAGGACGAGTTGTACATGTAATAGCTGTCACTGTTGTACACCAATGTACTATTTGTTTACGATGGTGTTATAGCTGTGTTCGCTAAATTCTACCCGCCATCTTGTTTTGGAAACGATTCATTTTAAACCATTTTTCAAACGACTGCGGGGAATTTCATATGGCATCGCGACCCTTCCTCGGAGATATTTTCATTTCTGTTACCGCGATTTCATCAAAATAGCAATAATCTGAGCCCCTTTCATACAGAATGTAGAGGTGCTCTCTATCATGCGGGAGCATCATGAGTGCGGAGTATCCTGCCATTCCTCTCCAGACCTGTTTCTCCGAGCTCCAAGTCTTCCCGTGGTCGTAACTCCATCTGATGTGTAAGTTCTCACCTATGGGAGGACAAATATGGACAAACTAGGATCTATTATCATACGTAACGTCATGGTGGTGTGGTTACATGCACAGCATTAGCATCATCTATACATAGCATTGCTCATTACCTTCCTAGGCCTTTCTTAAAGAAGTCGAACCTCCTCCTACAAGATTATTAAATAATAGCCACCAGGATGTAATGAGAATTTAAAATACTTCCCAGTAGTGACCATGTCAAGCAAAGCTAACGTCTAAACCTGATACCAATAATCATAGGTAAGAATTGAGGTTTAGAAAATCACTAGACACGAATCGAATTTACCAAAGCCCCAAGCCCAGGACTAGCTTCTTTTACTGTAGTATAATTTGGTAGACATAGTAAATGTTCTCAGCTCAGCTGTTAATTACTGTTTACACAGTTTGGTTGTTTGCTTAGATGGCTTAAAAATGTTTGGTACCCACGTTGTGTGTCATGTTTTGGTCCTGAGTAGAACAAGATCCCATCGTGGTACCACAGCCCCGATGTGATTCTAGGTTCGATGAGGGCCTGGTCCAGGTACGTGTAGTTTTGTGGCAGCGTTTCTCCCCCATCAAAACTACGCATGATCATCTTGCGGCGTTGCCTGAGATATACCTTTTCGTTCCGGATAAGAATATAGATGGACCCATCGGGAAACTCCACCGGCTGGATAGAATAGAACAGCATAACGGCAAAACTCAACGATGGTGTACCTTGAAATTTCTCAAAGGGAGTGAAAATAGCGTTGCAATGGCAATGGTTTTGTGTTTTCAGTATCAAGATGCTTTTTGATCAAAGGTCCTTTATATAGTGTTAAGCTTACCTGGCATTCATCAGGATCGAAGTGCCCTTTTCGTTTTCGTGGCCTGAACGGCACACTCGGTACAAAGGCTCCACGTCTCCACGTCACGCCGTGGTCATCACTCAGCAGCAGCACCAAGCCTTTACCATTGTAGAAACCGTGTCCGCACACTATCAGGCGTCCCTTGGATGGCTCCTGCCTTTTCTGAAAAGAATTAGCGCTAGCGGCTCAATTTGGAAATACGTAAAGAAAGTATAGAAAGTACAAGTAAAGAAAGTATACTGTAGTCATGTTTTATTTTTTGTATGAGCAGACTCCAGGTAAGTTGTACTTGTGTTTTCTATAGAAATGTGATGGAAGCTTTATTGCAGCAAATATAAAACAGGGCTATCATCACCACTTACCTGAATACCGTATCCAGGACTTGGGTGTGTGGCGTAGTGTTTCCCTACGTGATCGGTAATATTTCTCGGCCGGCCCCACGTGATGCCGTCATCCGTACTGTTTATCAACATCAGTGATCTCGTAGGACAGAACTCACAAAACACGTACATCAGGAAGATGGTAGCAGTTGTGTCGTCAACGAAAATAGTTCCTATGTAGGAGCAGACCTTATTTCTTGACTTTCCGTCGTCCACTATCCTTTGTGGGGGCGACCATGTTTTACCTTTGAAGGGAAGATACTGATAATTAGCCATAATAATAAATAACCATACAATATCACTTTACAAGTAGACTTTGATATATAATGGTGTCACCCACAAGCTCCTAGCAGATTCATGCAGATTCCTTGCACAAACATCTTACCAAAACATTATATCATTATGAAGCAGTGACTTCAAAATCAAAAGAAGAATAGGCAAGCAGCTTACATTACCTCCATCCGTTGATCTTCTGACTTCAAAGATCTTTGGGCTTTTGTCAAAATGTGATTTCCGTCTCCCTTCTGCTATGGCTACCAGATTCCCTTTGGGAGTGTAGGTGAAAACAGGAACCCGGTATACTGGGATTTCTCCCGTCCAGTTGCTTGTCCACAAAACAACGTCATGTGTCTCAGTTAGTGAGATATCAACAGGGCTAGCGGCCGATTTGACTTGCCTGGTGGAGGAGTCTTCAGGTGCTTCAGCGGCAGAGCTATCAGCTGACTTGACTTGCTCGGTGGAGCTTTTAGGTGCTTGAGCGGCAGGGCTACCGGCTTGCTTGGTGGAGCCTTTAGTTGCTTGAGCTTCAGGGCTACCGGCTTGCTTGGTGGAGCCTTTAGATGCCTGGACAACAGGGCTATCGGCTTGCTCGTTGGAGCCTTTAGTTGCTTGAGCTCCAGGGCTATTAACTGACTTAACTTGCTCGGTGGAAGAGTCCTCAGCTTTCTTGGAGACAAGGCTACCGACTGATTTGATTTGGTGGAGGAACGAACGAACTGCTGAGTGATACGCCTTTCGCGCGTGAGGGATAACACCCTATGGAAAAAGCCAGTTGAATAACTGTTAGTAACCCTGAAAACCAATAATCTGAGTGTCTTCTCGCATCTTACTGACTGGATGTTAAAGTTTTACATTTTTTTATTGCATATTCATATTGCACTGTGGATATCAAAGGTAATAACGAACTAGACATTATATAACATTCCAAACTTGGTATGTTTCGTCATCAGTCAGAAATGAGATGAAGGGGTTCGATATCATTTCTCACCAATTAGAGCAACACTGGTGTAAATAATGCTAGTGTCTCTACTGATTGATTGTAAATGATGATGAGTAGAACACAATTACTGTTGTTTACAGTTAGAGAGACCCACATGCACAGCCGTTTACTGGGTAATGCATGTACTGTAAAATTTACCACCTCATAGTTAGACTGTGCCTTGTTTCCTATCCACCGTGTCAGGACGACAATGATGAACAGTGAGGCAACAATCAGCAGCCGGAACCTCCCCGACATGTCTCGCGTCTTGAATAAGTAAGCCATGGTCAGTTTTCCCTCAAGTATTTTCCTGAACAATCAGATATCATTTTTGTCAGTATCTACTTAGATGCAGAGGCATCTCACTTAAGTGGTTAGTGTCCTACAATGTCAGCAATGGGGCGAATGAGTGTATAAGCATTGATACTCAACTTTTCAGTCGTCCATGATTCAAAATAAAAGTAATACATACATTCCATATAGGTTAAAATCTTGTACATTTCTAACGATCAGAGATATGATTTCATTTCTTAGATAGATAAACAAAATGCTCTTCTAGACTCTTACTACACAACGTCAGTTTTTTACAGACCCGCTTTGGTGTCATGTGCTGCAAAATGTTTTTTACACTCTTAGTATAATAAAAAAAAGGCTTGTGGCGTTACGTCATTACTTACTGCCCATCATAAATCTCAAAAACACATTTGATACTGGATGTTCTAACACACACAACTTAAGTACACGGAGGTTGTAGATATCATATATTTTCCCTACCTTCGCTGTGTGCCTTTGGTCAGTTCTAAGATCCCCAAGTAAAACGTATTGGTTGCCTGGACATCCTGTATGGTACGTTTTAGGTTTACTTTGCTGCGTGCGTTACATGCGCCAGCTCGCCATTTTGAGATACTGCTACGCCGTGGAAGACTAACTTGTGCCTACAACTGGTCTTTCTTGTTTCGTAGCATGCAGTTTAACCCAGAAAAATGCTACATTATGCATATATCAAACAAACGAACCCCACATGTACATATAACCAGCTATCTGTTCTGTGGTCAAGCTTTGGCAACAACAAAAACCCATCCGTACCTCGGTGTTACTGATTGACAAGTAGCCTTAAGTGGGGCACGCATGTTAACAACATCACTGCGAGGGCCAAACAAACATTGGGAGTGATTAGGCGCAATCTGTGGTCATGTCCAACAAGGGTAAAATCACTAGCATACACGTCGCTTGTAAGACCAAACCTAGAATATGCCGCTACAGTATGGGATCCATATACAACGAAAGACAACACATACGTCAACAAATTAATCTTCCATACTGTCGGACAACAAGAGAAAACAATATCGAACAGGCAGTCAACCTCCGCATTTAATTGTCCATCGTCTAACTTTGTTATTTCTCATATAGTTTGGAACACTACCGTAGTGTTACTGACCACAAATAAGATTTCCTTCGATCTTCAAGGACATTTAGAAGTCAAGACCCATATCTCATATGTTTCCAAGTTCTGAACGTTACAATATAGCCGTGCATTCAACATAATTTTTACTCACGTACTACTACTTTCTATAACAACGTATCTGCATTTGATGAAAAATCGGTGTCTAACATTTACCAAGAACGACGTGCGTAATTTTATATAAATAGACCACTAATTATCCCCTTAGGGGAAACGTAACCTGGTGACCTTTTACCTCTAACCCTACGCCACACGCTCGACCTAACTGGAAAGACGAGATGCCAGAACTGTCATTGTTGTACTGTATTTGTGTTGGATGACGTCATCATTGCCCACCAAATATCTTACCCGCCATCTTGTTTTCCAAGCGTGAAATCCATTTTTGAACCAATTTTATTTTCAAACGACTACGGGGAATTTCCATTCCTCATTTCGGAATTTCGACCCTTTGCTGCGGATATTTTCATTTTAGTAACCGCGATTTCATCAAAATACTGATTTGTGCCTCTTTCATACAGTATGTAGAGGTGCTTTATATCGTGTGGGAGCATCGTGAGTGTGGAGTATCCTGACAGGTCTCCCCATATCTGTGTCCCTGGGGTCCAGGTGTGGCCATAGTCGTGACTCCATCTGATGTACAAGTTCGCACCTATATGGCACAACAAACGTGAACAAACCTTAAATCAACCGGCAATGACATCAAGACTTAAACAGTGCATCATTGCAATCGGCAATTCCATGTCAATACCTTCTCTTTAGGTGCATCTAACGTTAGATGAAAATATATGTTGGAGAAGAACGTTGGCTGTCAGGTCACAACTCAATTTTAATTTAACAAAGTCAAACTTTTTTGTAGTACACTGCTAAGCTTTGTATCAACACAAATGATACAAAAGGATTAAAGGACTTAAGTTTATATCATCGTCTTATGATTACTACAGATGAACTTCGCTAATTTTGTTTGGAGATATCATCATACCTCACTAGGAATGTAGTTTATAGAAAGTGACGATACCCACGTTTGGTCTGACTCTGTGGTCCTGAGTAGAACATGGTCCCGTTGTGGTACCACACTCCGGATGTGATCTTCGGTTCGACGAGAGAGTTGTCCAGGAACATGTACTTCCGCGGCAGCGTTTCTCCCCCGTCAAAACTGCGCATGATCACCTTGCAGTGACACTTGTATCTTTTTTGATTCCGGGCGACTATGTATATGGATCCATCAGGTAACTCCACTGGCTGTAGGTAATAAAAAATTGAAACAAGACAATAAGTAGAACGTATTCTTATGAAAACAAAGATAGTAATGTATAAGGAGGAATTTCGTTATTCTTGATATTCTGTCAATGGTTTTGTTAATGTTATGAAGGCCAGCATCTACCGTATGTTCCCCTTGTATGGTACAAAGCTATCAAATTACCTTGATTCATAAATAGTGCTATTTCATAACAACATGTCCGTTTTTCCATAGGTACTTGTATTCTAGCTCCAGGTCATACCGGTACCTATGCGTTCCTACTTCTAGTGTCTAAATGTCCTATCTAGCCTACCAGGGGAAAGACATATTCAACACGAAGGCCCCATCGCAATCTCAACGATAGTGTACCTTGATATGTCCTGAGTGACAATATTGTTGCACTTTCTGTTAGCTCACCTGGCATTCATCGGGATCAAAATGCCCCATTTCCCTCTGTGGCATGAACGGCACACTCGGTACGAAGGCTCCCCGTCTCCACGTCACGCCGTGGTCATCACTCAGCAGCAGCACCAAGCCTTTACCATCGTGGAAACCGTGTCCGCACACAATCAGCCGACCCTCTGCTGGCTCCTGCTTTTTCTGAAAGGACATGTATTGTTCAATGACAGTAAAACATTTTTCTGTGGAATCCTGAGAGAAGTGGACGTAAAACTACCAGCGATATATCAACATCCCTTACCTGAATACCGTATCCAGGACTTGGGTGTGTGGCGTAGTCTTTCCCTACGTGGTCGGTGATATTTCTCGGCCGGCCCCACGTGATGCCGTCATCCGTACTGTTTATCAACATCAGTGATCTCGTAGGGCAGAACTCACAAAACACGTACATCAGGAAGATGGTAGCAGTTGTGTCGTCTACGAAAATAGTTCCTATGTAGGAGCTGAACTTGAAACGGGCCCTGTTTCCATCGTCCACTATCCTTTGTGGAGGTGACCACGTTGCACCTTTGGAGGAAAGGAAATGCTACTTTAGCTAAGAACCTAGTACTTGTGTCGTATCCTGAAAAGACCTTAGATGACGTCTAGGAATTGTTTTGGTCGAATAACATACGAGCCCATATTAGAGGTTTGTACAGCAATTCTTAATTTGTAAAGAATCCTAGCTTTCCTCGGAATATCGATATCATTGTGGCTACGATCAGCAGAAAACGACCAAAGGTTTGTGTTACCAGAAAATGATCAAAGGTATATGTAACGTTATATACATTTGTACCTCCATCCACAGATCTTTTCACGGCAAAGATCTTTGGATTTACATCCTTTTCTGATTCCCTTCTCCCTTCTGCTATGGCGACCAGATTCCCTTGGGGTGTGTATGTGAGAACAGGAACCCGGTATAAGCTAAGGTCCCAATTGGGAAAAGGGGCCCTGGCGGGTAGTTCCCGGGCTGTTTTTTACCACTTTCGGGCGGGACCCCGACGTGGCCCCGCGGGGCACCCTGCGGCTACCGGGCTATTTTTTGGCCCGTCGGGGCCCCGAGAAGAATTTAATTCTGAGTTAAATTCTACCCGGGCCCCGCTGACAAAAAGACGCCGTGACCTCATCGTGAGAACACCGAGAGGTACCCCTCCGGTTGCCGGCATTCCACCGGGACACATTTCTTACGTCACAGACCAGATGAACAGAATAAAGGTGTGTACTTCGTAAACCCGGGTAAAATGTGTGACAAATGATCACAACAAATACGTGAATTCTGCATTACGTATAGGTCAATACAAGACATCGTCAGAGAATCTGCTGGGTACCTGCCGGGTGCCTGCCGGATACCGACCAAAGAGGGTGACAAAATTTCTAACAAAATGCTACTGAAGGAAACTTTTAATTGTGACCACGACAGCCGATGCCCGCTCGACTCCTGAACCCGGCCGGGGCCAGCCGGGGCTACATCCCCGACGGGCACCGGCGTAATTGGGACCTTAGCTATACTGGGATTTCCCCCTTGCCTTTGCTCGTCCACAGTACGACGTCACTCACCACAGTCAGAGAGAAACTAGCAACCTGTAGAACCAGTAGTGAAATATGTCGCCTATTTCTCTTACACGAGGGAGATAGCTATCTAACAAAATGCATCAATATAAAGAAGCTAACTACAATTAGTCCTGAAAGCTTAGTCCAGTCGTGTCTGAATTGTATATACGCTCAGATCTGTTTTTGAGGTGAGGGTAAGTAAAATATACGTTTCTGCTTACTTGTGATGAATGTGAGTATCTTGGCACTGTAGACCCCTGGGCTGCCTCGGTGTTCTGGCGAAGATTCTATTGAACAAATAAGTCACATAACTACTATAGCACCTATCACATCAAACATCAATAAGATCAATGGTTTCCTACCGGTAAATGCTTTTCATATGATCAACAGCAATCTGCGTCCCTCACCACAAAAGTATGTATTCAGATCTTTTAAAAGATCAACCATATAAATATTTCCACTGACTAAAACGATGACCAGAAATCCCGAGTTTTCCTGTAACATGGTATTTACCATTTGATATTTTCTCAGCGTCGTGTTTGCGATCCAGCCTGCCATGAAGATGATGATGACCAGGAGAACCTTATGCAGCATCCTCATTGTTCTGGACACGGGATTTGTTTTGTTAGGATCAGCCATGAAGAGCCCTGTATGTGACAACTCAGTCTATTAAAGATCTTTACCTGGACAATAAACAACCATCGTTATTCAGGAATAGTCGTACCGTATTATTCACGAAATGAATTAATCTCCAAGCAGGTGTGATGATCAGGCACAGTGCCATTGTTTCATGCGTGTTTTTGTTATACGTCTAGGTTACTGAATTACCTCTCTACGTCACTACTACAATGTAGAGGACACCGAGACTTAGACCAGATCTGCTAGGAAATTAGGGATAAGGTCAAGGACATGTGTTTCTCCATGTGCCCATATGACTGATTGAGTGGCTTGTGAACAAGGATTCTGATATACAGGTCCATGCCATCGCACTGTATTTTAGTCTTGCATAGAGCTAGGGGGCATGATTGGTAAATTTCAGTTCGCAGCTGTAATTATTGTAGAAATACTGTTATTAAACGCTATTCAACTAAAATACCTAAATATACACTGAACTCGTAGAAGGGTTAGATTGGGTGACTATGGCAGAGTTATGCTTAGGGGTAAAAGAATAAACGTCCTTATACTAGCATGTGGCATTCGGGACAGCGGTCTTTGATTGAACACCATAACAAGCCCAACCCCCCACACAATACAAAGGTCATGCATAAACTATAGATTGAGAAAATAGTCCTATGATACCTTCAGTAGTGTGAGGTCTGGTGGTTTGTTCTAGGTGATCCAGGTATTGCCTCTTGATCGCCGATAGTCGACGCGGATAGTCATAATGCCAGTTGGCCCTGCATGGCACGACTCAGTGGCTGTTGTTGTTGTTATAAGTACTAGTAGGACTGGAGTATCTATACATTCGCCATTTTTAATTAACGGGAACGCCCCGGTTTTTGTCCGGGTGTAAACGGCTAATGCCCGTGGATTATTAGAGGGATAAGAATGTGTTTATAATTTTGAGGCTTGGCAAAATTGCTCGCCACCTAAATCGATCTTTTTTTAAAAGTTGAATCAAGATGGCATGTAGTCATTTCTTTTGCCTAGAACACACTGTTCTAGGAATAGATATTGTTCGTCATTTATCAGATGAAGGTCTTCTCAACTCCGCTAGGGGTTATTTGTAAGTTGTAACATCAATCAAAGAAAGTACATAATCTGCATAACAACTATCGTGACATGATAATCGTTGCGAAATATTTTGTCGTCCCATTTATATTTCATTCACATACCACCCTTTTCTGTTATGGTATATCTGTTCTCTTTTCGTTTTAGAGTTTCATTTAAAAATTACACGAAACAAGTCAAAGGCGATGTGAACGTAAACAAGAATAGAGTATAGTGACCTTTGACCCCCCAAACAACACATGTCACCAAACAGGTAGAGCGAGTTGTCGCCGGGTTTCGAGCGACGCCGGGTCGCTTTAAAAACGTTAACGCTGATATTTGGTACCTAAAACAAAGCTATGAAGGACTTTGCGTGATCCACTGGCATCCTGATTTAATATTACGTCAGTTTAGGACGAGCAGAGATTTTTAGAAGTGGCACAAACCACTGGAGACTTAACACTGAAGGTAAGACGGAAACATCTTCAGTGTTTTCGTAACCTGGATCAGTTTGTTACGCAATATCTTGCCTCTAACAGCTCTTCTAATTGATACATATGCATTTGTTTGAAATTTTGCTTGTGTATTTCTAAATAAACTAGAATAAACTGAATGTGCCTCCCCCCACACATCTGCTTGGTTGTGATGGGCTATCATGGGGTGAATTGTACATTATGGTGTGTGTGGACTGATTATACCCTACATCATCCCCCACGTGGCAAAACTATTTTGTAATTCATTTGTTTGCAGTAGAGTTTTAAATGAATCAAAGAGATGAATTATTGAGATACAAATAATGTATATGATGATGACATGCATGTCTGCTAATGATATGACGTAAAAAGTCATATTTCAATGCATATGGGCTGAATCATGCTGGTGTACTCTCGCAAGAAAATTAAATGCTGTACGTATACATATCTTAAGAGAATAATAATGTTACTATTATAACTTACGGAACAGAAGTATTGTTTTGTGTGACGAAAATTTATGCTAGTTTTGTATGTTTGGGTTCCGAAGTGACTGCGGAGATTGAGTTTTACTTGATTGACAGAGTTTTGACCCAGTATGCCCTGGTTTCACGGATATGGTCACCAGGAATGGTCAACCAGCAAAATTTCTTCAGCAATCGTATGATTGATATGGCATTCTATGATGTAATTCATTAATGCAAACTATCCTGGAAGTTTGAAATCTCTGATTTCTTGTTGTAGTAGAGAAAAATACGTTCTAGAGTCTCCGAACAGAGAGGACCATGGCGGACGCCAAGCAGGCGAGCGCCATGTTGAGTTGGCTGAACGTTGCCCTCCGTGTTCTCCTGGTCATCATGGCTCTCATGACGGGAAGACTGCTGTACCAGCGAGATCCGACCTCAACACTCACTAAACGTCAAATGGTAAACTTCATAGTACCGGGTGTATAATTTCAATTTTGAAGACAAAACAACAGACAAAATTTATTATGTTGATCTTTATTGTGATTATTCATTAAGTTTGTTCCGCAGGATCTCCATAATGGTGCCCAGGTAGCTCATCAGGAGTCAGTACAGAAAAGCCCCAACTCATCAGACGTAAGTAAAGCTATACCTTCCTAACGTACATTAACACATATACTGTACAGGAACAGTGCAGGTCATTCTCAGAGAAAATGATACTTTTGATTGTTTTATAGCCTTCGTCTTGTTGTTGTCTCGTTTATGCAGACATATCTCGGAGCATGTATTTGTAAGTTGATAAAAAGACCGTTTATCTAGCCATGGCCTGCTATAACGTTATCGCTCTAGTAAGTCTTAGAAACAGGGTTTCCTTATCTTCATTTGTTTATCTGTTTCATGGTTTTCTTAATCGTGTGGTCATTAGCAATTGTCGTTCTGCATCAACGTTATGATTAGACATGAATCACAGGTACAACATTAGTTTCTGACGATCGCATGGCTAGACTTGGCCTTTGTAAAGGAATGTACTTTCAACTGTTGTCCACAGGTTGGCATCTCTCTCAGTTTGGTACACGACATCGTACTGTGGAGGAGTCACAGGCGGGGCGAGGTCGGTATATTCCGGGTTCCAGTTCTCACGTACACCCCCAAAGGAAACCTGGTAGCCATAACGGAGGGGAGAAGGAATTCGAGAAGCGACGAAAATCCAAAGATCTTTGCCGTGAAGAGATCGACAGATGGAGGTAAAACTTAGCCGTGTGATAATTCTCTTGGTTTTAGTGTTTGTATACTTTCGGTAAGCCAATGGTGTCGAATATAATTTGAGAATTCAAACTTACATTGACAGACATAGCAAACTTCTTACTTCAGTAAGGATTTAGTTAGAATAGAAGAAATGTACCAAATTTATCGTCTCTTTTTAAGGTGCAACGTGGTCTCCGTCGCAGTGGATAGTGGACGACGGAAAGTCTCAATTCAAGAGATGCTCCTACATAGGGACTATTTTCGTAGACGACACAACTGCTACCATCTTCCTGATGTACGTGTTTTGTGAGTTCTGCCCTACGAGATCACTGATGTTGATAAACAGTACGGATGACGGCATCACGTGGGGCCGACCGAGAAATATTACCAATCAAGTAGGGAGACATTATATCACACATCCAAGTCCAGGGTATGGCATTCAGGTAAGCTCTAGTTTGTTACCACAAATATTCTAAGATTACACTTCATTTATTCTGGAAAATGGTTATAAAAACTTTCAGCAATAGCTATTTCGGTACAATATGATAAGATGCAAAGAATGCAGAACCGCGTAGGAAAATTGATCTTGAAAGCCCCGTACAGAACACCATCACGGGAAGTCCTCTCTCGTCTGGGATGGAAGTCCGTGAGAAGTCTACATCGTCAACATAAAGCCATGATAGTGTATAGGGCCTTGGACAATTCTTTACCACCATATATGCGAGGGGTGTTCATCCGGTATACTATAGAGACGCAGCCTCCAGATCCACCAGACAGAGCACATTGGACAACCTCATCATACCGAGGCCCCAACTGGAAGTGTACAGGCGGTCATTGAGGTACTCGGGGGCGACTGTGTGGAACTCCTTGCCACCACATGTACGAGCAGCCCAGTCATTGGGAACATTTAGAAGTATGATAAGGAACTTGGACTGATAACGGACTGATGATTTATTATTTATTTTTGTATTATATTATATTTTGATTTGCACTTTGTTTTGATTTTGTATTATATTTTGGTTTGATTTGTAATCCGTGACCCCGCCCTCACCCTCGAAAAGCGGTCATTTGTAACCGAACAAGCTTTCGAGTTTAAATAAAGGCTACTACTACTACTACTACTACCTGTTTGCAGAATACGATAGACGAACATTATGCTATATATTCAGATTGGCAAACACTATTCGTTTTAGAAAAAGCAGGAGCCAGCTAAGGGAAGGCTGGTTGTGTGCGGACATGGTTTCCATGATGGTAAAGGCTTGGTGCTGCTGCTGAGTGATGACCACGGCGTGACGTGGAGACGGGGAGCCTTCGTACCGAGTGTGCCGTTCATCCAACCTCCGAGGGGACACTTCGACCCAGATGAATGTCAGGTAAGTTGGAAGAGTGAAGTTAGTGAAGGAAAGAAAAAAGACGGCTTTGCCAGAGTATTATGATGCTAATGATACCAGATGACAAAGTTAATGGAACTTTTCGTGCCGACATCTTGTACCAACATAGTATAACAATATTCTTTACTTAAAATAGGATTTGGAATGTACAGATAGAAATGAATCGTAAAATATGTTGATATTGTACACATGTGAGCAAAAACAACGGCCAAACAATCCCAAGAACCACCAAACCGGTGAAATATGCCTTCAAATGCCTGTACAGTGATTTTTCTTTGATGTTGTTTCGATCCTATACAGCCTGTAGAGTTACCTGACGGATCTATACACATAGTCGTCCGGAATCAGATGATCTACAAGTGCCACTGCAAGATGGTCATGCGCAGCTTCGACGGAGGAGAAACGCTACCGCGGAAGTACATGTTCCTGGACAACTCTCTCGTCGAACCGAAGATCACGTCAGGAGTGTGGTACCACAACGGGACCATGTTCTACTCAGGACCGAAAACCAAGATGAAACGTGTGTAGTTCTGTTCTTCATCAGTGAAGAAACAGTACTATAATTATAGAACTATACTATAATTAGATATAGCTATAGAAATACTATTTCTCTGTAGTATAAGATATTAGGAATTACGTTGATGACTTTCATCATGAAGTGTTTGATATTTGTCACTTTTTGTTATTGGCTTTGTCAGTACTGATGCGTAGTTGACATTCTGTCTGTTGTTTTTTGTCTGAAGGATTGTGTCCTCTTCTTTATCTTAGCTTGATGTGATTTTTACTCCGTGAAGGAGGTCAGGACCTCCGGACGGAGTGTTGTAATCGGCTGATTTTTCATGTTCGCAGTCAAAACACTGGGTTCTCTTCGTGTAATCGGCACGCAATTTTATACGCCGTCTGCGGGCATGCCCGTGTTGATGCACGAATGTGTATTTTTGCCGTTGCTGCTTTCGCGGTCAATGTAATATCGCAGACGCACCCCTACAATTACGAGGCGAATTGGAACGGTCCAGAAAAACGCGTTGTTTGGAATAGCGGGGGGGGAGGTAAAAGTTCATGCAGATACGGGGTGGTTTTTATAAGTGGTTCCAGATGTTTTTGCCCATGGTTAAGAGATGCCAAGTTTTTTGGAAGATGTTCGCAGCCAAAACGCATTCTGCCGTACGTCGCATATCTGTGTAATTTCGCATGTGGTGTTGCATTATGTCCGGGATGATGCACGTCTTTTTATTTTTACCGTAGCT